TCCCCGCCAAGTGTGGGACTCCATGTGGGCTTGACGGAGGGGGTGGTGTTGGGGGCCCTCCTTGCAGAGCTCAACACTGGGCTCGATCTCCTGATCGAGTTCAGATCATAACCTGAACTGAAACCAAGAAGTTGGACATTTAACCGCCTGAGCCGCCCAGGCACCTCTGCTATACCACTTTAAAGCCTTGGTTGAAATGCATTTGTTAAGGAATCCAGCCATGCAGAACACCATTAAGCGCTTCTTTGTGGGGTTCAGACAAAGTAGGATAAATTCTGATCCCTCATGGCATTCCTTGCACCTGGGGGGACCCAGAGCAACACAAATAAGCATTCCAAATTTCTGGAGGCTAGAGTTAGGGCTGACTGTTATATTCAACTTTTTGCCTAGCCACATTCTCTTATTTTCTCTAATACACGTGTATTGGTTGTGTGGTGAAAAAGTGAAGTAAAATTAAACAAGGACGAATACTCTTCGATCAGAGTTGACATCCTGTGCCCTGATGGCTCAGTCCTCCTGCAGCCTCCACCCTTCTCTTCCAGCAGAGGATAGAAGTGCTAAAGGGAGTCAGAGGACCTCTGGTCAAATCTCTTCTTTCGCTCCCTCTGCTTTAACACTGAGCAAATGGATACACTTGGGACCTCATGAAAGCCTCCTCTGTGCATTGAACACTCCCAGCTGTTATGTTAAATAATAATAATAATAATAATAAATAATGTGTCTGAGGCTTTTACAAAATAAATAGGCTGAATGCTGACCCAAAATAAAAGTAAAAGGCTTTAAGCCAATGTTTCCCAGTGTGCCTTTCTGTTACCCACTTTTCAGTGTGATCTTAAATAAATAAAATAATCTACTCTAAACATCCCATTTTTAGACTCAAATCTTTGAGTAAGCTTTCTTCTAAAAATATTTGGAATTGGATCAGCTTTTGGTGGCGTTTTTCTTTCCTTTTTCTAATCCATATAAGAACAATACTCTTATGTATATAATTCCTCTGAGTTGGAATTAAACGTATTAGGATCTGAATTAGAATATCTCTTTAATAACTGACTTTCTGTAGTGCCTTTTTATATGTTGGCCACCACTTAAAAAGAATTTTTTTGTTAGAGGAAGGTAACGTGCGTGTGAGTGAGATGGGGGAGGGGCAGAGGGAGAGGGAGAGGGAGAATCCTAAGCAGGCTCCATGCTGAGTGTGGAGCCCAGTGTGGGCCTCAGTCTCATGGCCCTGAGATCCTGACCTGAGCCGAAACCAAGAGTCTGACACCCCTTGGCCACCATTTTTACCATCATTGTCATCACCACTGCAAACATTTAGATTGGACTTAAAATTTCCAAATCGTTCCTCCACACAGTATCTCTTGTCATAGTTGCCCTGTGATCCCCACTTTATTGAGGGCCAAACTGAGGTTGCTGGAGGTTGAATGACTTTCCTAGGATTTTTACAGCTAATTCAGGTACAGAGCCGGGCCTCAATCCCAAACTTTCCAGCTCTACATTTTTTATTCTTTATTCTCCCACACTGCTATTCCATTTCCTTAGTTGCTGGATTTTAGCGGTGGTAGCATTTGGCTTGACTTAGAAAATTTCAAATTAAACCTTTGAGTAGCTACCTTTACCACAACCCCGAGAGAACAAGCCAGGGGTACAAACTTAGTCGGAAAACAGCCCTCCTGTCTTATTCTACATCTGTCCCCTCTTTTGAATCTAGCATCAAATCCTAAGGACGTGCTTTGAAAAATCAAAATTGCTGGGGTAGGGGTTGGGAGTGGGGAATAAAGTGGGGTTTTGAATTTTCTCTAAAATTCTATTATAATTGTTCCAGGCAGCTAATGTTTCATTACTAATGTTTAAAAAATTATTTGAAAATATGCAGTATAAGTAAAATGCCCAATTAAGAGGAAGCAAGCCTAAGCAATAGAGGGTGAGACAGTATCCAATAAGAGAATCAAACTATGAAGCTAGACTGGAATTCTGGATTTGGGGGTTTCAAACCTGTGAGGCATCTTGCCTCAGAGAGTAAGTGCAGAAGAGCTAGGGCATATGTCTGCCTAAATATGTTGCATGCAATATTTAGGATATATTTATGCTATAAACTATTCTTTGTTCAGCTGAAATTAAATTTAATCAGGCATCCTGTATTCTCTCTGGGAACCCTACCCTAGAGGTTAATTCATAGGGCAGCCTTGGGCCAGGTGCAGAGAATGTTTGCTTGGGGACATTCCTAATAGGCTGGGAGCAGACCAAGGCTGATCTGAGCAAGTCTGGATTAAGTCCCAGGTAGTACAGATAGATCTTTGTTGTGTGTCTCACCAACCACTCGGGCCTTTTGTCTTTGATTGAAAGTCTCTATAAACCATGCCTAAATACTATGGCATTACTCACAAGACCCCTGAGGTATTTTCACATCATAGGTAATAAATGCCCCTAAACTTAGTATTTGAAATAAGAACTACTCACTGCAATATTTAGTTAAAATTACAAAAGGAGTACAAATAAAGCCATTGTTTTGTTAAGGTGTATGTTATAAGTCTTATTTAATTTCCCCATGTTCTTACATGTATGTTTGTTGGGTCAAGACTTCCACTGATGAAGTATTTCAGTTAGCTGCTAAAAGAAATACATTGAAAGAATTACAACTGATGTCCATTTGGGCTAAATACCTACCATCATTATTGTCTCTCACCTGAATGCCTTTTACTGATGTGATGTCATAAGTGGCCCTGATCCTGGCTCTAGCTTCCTTACCATGTTCACAGTTCGAAACCAGCTGAGAGAGTAAATGATATCTGGGGCGGCTTGGGGGGTGGGAAGCGGGATAGGGAGGATGCAATTAAAGAAACTGGTGAAAGGAAGATGTGAGTCACCTGTCTTCATGCTCACCCACCTCCATGTTTCTACCCAGTTAACCCCCAGCTTCCCAGGTAACCAGAGCTTATCGCTTGGGTGTCTTATGGACAACCATGGCTACAATGAGCTGAAAAGGCAGGGGCAGTAACAGTAACAGTAGTAGTGGTAAGGCGAATCAGGGCCACAAGATACAGGGAAGTAAAGTCCCTCCTCAACACCAGTGGCCTTTTCTGTCCCCGGGTGGCTTGTGTGATGATTATGTCACTCTCCCACAAACTTCTGATACTGTCTTTTAGCATAATGAAATCATCATCATTTTTCTCTCAAGTTACTTATTCTCTACATCCTTCTTTCATAACCTCAGAGTCTCAGTTCACAGAAGTGACCAGAGAATTCTCAAAATCTAATTCTATCCCACTGTTTTTCTCCAAGTCACCTGAATGTGGTGTTCTGGCGAATTTACAGAGCCACGTCCTCGTCAAAGTAGCATTTCTCAGGCAAGGCAGCTGATCTCTCTTATTTGTACTCAGCATAAGACCTTTATTTATAGCTTAAAGAAGAAAATGTTCACATTGCTCAGTTTCATGACTTAAGCAGATCAACTGAAGGTATGGGCAAATCATGCCTCCTTTCCTACAAAGCGCTCATGCAAAACCAGAGGGGGCCGCTCTCAACAGCCTTATCTGGAGGAGGTTTAAAGAATGAAATCTACTTTTCAAATTGTTCCCATGTCTGGCATATGTCCTGTTTATCAGATATTCCATCTCCGAGAACTTTGTAGAGAATGGTATTCTTCCCCCTAGCTCTGCTCCAAATCATTTTTGTGAGAGACTGGGTCTAAAATTGTGGTAAGAAAAATCCAGTAGTCTCCAAGAAGGCTTCTTTCTCCTGTTCGGAGCCTCCTTGTCCAATCCCACGTTATGTTCTTTATCCCAAGTAAGTGTAGCTAAGCATGTGCAAATGCCTCAGAGAATGTAAAGTGCTGAGAGAGGGGATTTTATTTTATAACTTACATTTATTCAGTATAATTTTTAAATAATACATTCACATGGTTCAAAATTGAAAATGACCTACAAAGGTATACACTGAGAATCTGGTTCACCCTCTTCTCCCGTCCATCTCACCAATCCCTGATGCCCGCCCCCACCCCATAGATTAGCACTTGCATCATTTCTTGAGGGGTCTTCCAATGTTTTATGCATATATAAGCAAACATTAATACATATTCTTATTTTTCTACATTCCTTATATGGAAGGCAACATATACTACACATGTTCTGCAGCTTGCTTTTTTCCATATAAAAATATATCCTGAAGATTACTCCAAATCAGTACCTAGAGAGCATTTATTAAACTACCTAGCGTGTCCTTGTTGATAGATGCTCAGGATGTTATTTAACTCTTCCATCACAAACAGTGTTGTGGGGAACACCTCCGGTCTGTGTGTCCTTTTGTGCATGCCCAAGTGTATCTGCAGGATACATTTCCAGAAGTGGGACTTCATAGAATTTTGATCAAATACCTCTGTTTGAATGCTTATCAATGAGTGGCCTGTATTTTAGTTAGTGCTGTCTGTCTCCTCATTATTTTATGAGCTTCTAGAAGGCAGAATTGTGTCTCATTCATCTTTGCATCCACAGCCTCTACCACAGTATCTAGCATGTTAATGCTGAATACAAAATAAACTTCCCAGTGTAACTATAACCTTGAGAACATTAAAGTAACCCCTCAATTTAAAAGGCTGAGATCTAGGGTATAGATCAAGAGGCACTTCTAAGTTTCTATTTAAGGATGAAAATAGGACTTATAAAATGCCAGCCCAGATGAAAATATTGAATGAGGAGTGGAGATTTCAAGGATGAGGATGTCTCTTCAAATCCAGGATCTAGGACAATGTCAGGTGTATTTTTTGGGTTATTCACACGCAGAGAAGCTGAACGCTAAAATAGGGAGGAAGCCCGGAGGACTCCCGCCTGGTGAAGATTAGCCAGGAATGTCAGAACAGTACTTCCCTAGCAGCCCGGCTAAGACAGGCCGTAAAGGTAAATGCACCCCCAGATTTGAATCTGAGCAGAGAGGGAGACTGTACGTGTGTGTGTGTGTGTGTGTGTGTGTGTGTGTGTGTGTGTGTGTGTAACCTGGTTCTAATCTACCTTCTTCTCCATCTTTATGACAATCGTGTGAATGGCTCCTGATTCTGCTCTGTTAGGAAGGCGGCTAGCAAAGGGACATGGCGAAAACTCAGAGCATCCCTCAACTGAAGGCAGCCACACTTCCCAGCTCTCTCCCTCGGCATCCCCGTCCCGTCTCCTCCCCAGCCTTCACTGCTGCCCCAGCACAGAAGTCACAGGAGTGCTCTCTCTCCACTAGGTCATCACAAACCATCCCAGCTGCTACTCAACTATGATTAGTCAGGTTGGAAGCGATGGAATGGCAGGCAGATGTGTAACACTCAGAACTCAGCGAAGCCCTTTTTCAAAATCCCTCCCTCTCAAAAACTTTCAGTGAGGGGTAAGTTGATGCAACCTCTTTGGTTGTATCAGTAAGGTGGCAATAGCATTCAAAACGTATGTGTTTTTACATAGCAATTTCACTTCGGGCAATTAATTCTACAAATACACTTATAAAAGTGCACAAAAATATGCATACGTTTGCTGAAGTATTATTTGAAAAAACACGACTAGAAAGGTAACTTAAGTATCCATCAATATGGGAATGGTTATATCCACCATAGCGTATTACTTGATATCTGTGCAGGTACTAGAAGAATGAAGTAGACCCCTGTGTAGGGAATGGAATGATAGCCAGAGTATATGGCTAAGTGAATAAAAGCAAATTCAGAATAGTACATATATTATATAATTTTATTTGTGACTTAAAATAACATATGCTTGCATATGAATTTAAAAAGTCTCTTCATTAGGGCACCTGACTGGCTCAGTTGGTAAAGCATACGACTCTTAATCTTGGGGTTGTGAGTTCAAGCCCCACCATTGGATGTAGAGATTACTTTAAAAAAAGAAAAAAATTTTAAAAAGTCTATTAAAATATATGAGGAACTATTATTAGTGGTTACTCCTGGAGAATGGGATTGTGGGGGTTAGGAGCAAAGAAAGTAAATTTTTTTAACTTTATATGCTGTTTATATGGATTTTATAATTAAAACCTTCAGTTGTAGCCAGTCTATCAATTCTTAAGTTCCTCTGGTGTATAGATTTTAGGGTTTCGTGATCATTTTTGACTCAGAATAAGCATTACTTTAAAAATCCTCCAGCTCTCCCTCAGGGCTACCTGCAAAGGCGGAGCCATCTCCTACTCGGGGTCATGGCCGCCCTCATACCTCTGGTGAAGGCCAAGATTGTTAAAGAGAGGACCAAGAAGTGCATCTGGCACCACTCAGACCCATATGTCAAAATTAAGTGCAACATTTCCCATGCACGAGACTTAAAAATCATGACAAAATCTTTGTATCATATTTTACAAGGTCAGGGACAAGGGAAGAAGAAAAGATGCTCCCATATTGTGCATGTGTCCTGTTGCTAGAGAAGAGACCGCTCAGGGCAGACATACACACAGTGGCAGATTCTGATAATAGGTTTTCAAATCCTGATAATTGGAGCCATTCAATCAGTCTCTGCCTGATCCTGAGGAAACAGAACCTGAGATAAGAAGCAAGAAGATGAGAAAACACCAAGACAAGAAAACAAATTGGTAGATACAGGTGGCAGTAGACTCAAATGGGGTCTCTTGAAACAAGGCTTTAAGCAAGAATCTTGAACGTACCAAAATTTCATTTGGGACATGAATTTCCAGGCCACCTACTTTTTCCATGACTTCCTGTTGCTAAGATGATGATGTCTTAGGTTACTAATCTAACAAAGTTTTGCAGGGCCAAAAAGTTTTAGCAATTTGCCTTTCTTTCTGTGATGCAGGGGGAGAAAAGTTGTGGGGTGTGCAATGTTAATTTAAATGCCTTGTGTGATTGCTCTTCACTCCAAAATAGTATTTTGTGTTTGCAGATGTAGAGAAAACTACATTTTCTTGGTAGTAAGATGGTAGGTCTATACTGGAAGCCAATAAAAATACCAAGCAAATGGACAATTCATCTTGCTGTGACTATAACCAGGTCTAGTGTAGGGAAATAATCCAAACCCGAAATTCACAAATAATCTTAAGAGATCTTCAGAACCAGAGCATACATTTGAGGTCAGCCCCCAAACCTTTCAGAACTTCCATTTACAACTAGATGCTAAGGCACAATAACCATTAAAAAGATTGGCAGATGAGTTAGAAATAACAGAGATTAAGAGAAAAATAAAGTAGTAATATAGCAATAATTATACCTTTGCTTGCCCTACTCACTTATTGCTGAGCAATTCATCTTCAGTTATAAGAATGTAACTTTCTAAGAGAAATTTGCTTTCACTAAGCGAATAGTTCTAAGCATGTTTGGTAATTTAATTTCAAATATCTGTGTTGGTGTAATTGGGGGTTTTAAGGCACTAGCCTCCAATATTTAGATCCAGGTATCCAGAAATAATTTACCTTGATAACTAACTTGAAGTCCACATGCACATTGGCCCCAGTTATTGGAATGGTATGGATGAAAGTGTATTTGTGAACTCAATTCTCCAGATACCTTGCACATAAATACCCAACGAAAGTCCACAGGGTTGGGATACCTCTTGAGATTCATCTTGGTGTAGAATATTTTCTCCTTTGAACCACTAATCAATTTTATTATGTGCAGTTTCTACAATACAAGTCTATTTGCCCCAATGTCTTAGCATCATAGTACCCTCTCATCAGAATATTGGTTGGATTCCCTAGTGTGAATCACTTATCCAGTTGCTCGCCTGATTTATTCACATGTTTTTGAGATTTGTGAAATGTGGCAGATAAACAGGTTTATGCTGTGTGCAGCTTGGAGGGCAGCCAATATCTGTCTGCCTATACAGTATATTTACTCTCCTTCCTCAAATCTCTCTCCCATACAAAGAAGCTGTACTTTACGACTCAAATCAGTGTAGAATGCATCTAGTAATGTCACTGCAGAAAACAGCAGGTGCTCATCCACTCATTTGCGGTGATTCTTGCAGAGAAGAAAGTGAATCAATGATTCACCCAGTGGACAAAGAAACATCACAGCGACTATTTGGAAAAGTCAAATGCGGGAAAGGAACATTCTCATCTAAAGGTGTTCTCTGATTTTAGAAAGGAAAGCCTCCCACAAGAAAATCAGGAATTTTGTTGAAGTGCTCTGGTTGAACCTGTAGTAAGCAATGGCATGTTCCCTCTCTCCCTGCTTCTTCTGTTTTATTGCTTTTGTGTTGTACTTCTAAAATAAATATCAATAAATCATTGCAGTTAGATACTCTAATATAGACAGAAATGTACTTGACTCCCTACAGTCATTACAATTGGAGGGGACTCTGATTAGGATGCTTTACTTAATTAAGTGATATCGTCTAAAGAGAGTTCTTCCCTCCATTTTCTGTTTAACAGTCTTATAAAACACCAACAGAGGAAATTCATTCTGTTGTTTGCTTTCCTTATTGTAAATGGTTTATTCTCATTCATAGTTTACAGAAGATGTTGTGTTAATGAAATGCCTAATAAGCCCAAGACTGGTTCAGCTACACACAGAGCCTTGTTTAACTCAGCCCAAGCTATCCCAGGCTTGAGAACACTTTCTCCCTCAGTCCCAGAAATAGATTAAAAAAATTTTTTTACATCTGTAACCTAAAATTAAGATGATCCAAAAGAAAAAAATTTTTTTCCAAGAAATCATGCTTCATCTGGTTTATGTACAGTTCAGCAGAGACCTTAAAAATCTGTTTCTTTGAAAAAACAGAAAAAATGGGCAAAGAATAAGCAATCCTTATGCATAAGATGTTATTTGTGAGGCACTTTAATTTTACTGAAAGAAGTCATTAAATTTGGATTGCCAATACAAATATGATTATATATGTTTTCTAAATAAAATGTTATTATGTTGCAACTGAACTCATCCATTTATTGTTTGTTTACCTAATGCTCAAACGCATGTTTTATTCATAGATGTCTGGGAGAAAAAAATTTTGCTTGATAATCACACCAAGCATATTTAACAAAAGCAATTCTCCTTTTATTAGTGAACAAGTTTAAGCAGAATGATTTCATTTTTTTTCCATTTAGTTCATTCAGACTTGCAAAATCCCCAGTATACAGCTTTTGTTTCTCCCCTAGCTGCCTTTTATGTCTTTAATATATGCATGCCTAGCCACTGATGGGAAAATATCATTTCCTGCAACTCTTCTTTTTCCTTCTTAAGTATTCTCTCAGTTGATTTCTGGTTTTGGTTAGTTTTCACTAGTCAGTTCTGTCAAATCATGTAGAAGACAGACAGAGTGAAGCCAAGTAAATAGTTCACTATCCTGTTGAAGATTTTAAACTCTCTTTCATTACAGTGAATTTGAATTCAAAACATATTTACTCGTTCCATTAAAAATAAATAATATCTTTGTATTTTTAAAGAAATCAAAAATTGATAGAAAGTAGTCAAAAAGTGAAGATGTATTAATATTTATGAAATTGTTTTTATTACCAAATAAAACATTTTAACAAAATGCTTGCAACTTTAGCAAAAAAAAAAATGACCTATTAAATGTAACAACTTTATGTCTGTTTATTAAAAAGAAATATAAATGTAAACACTCTCTTAAATGAATTCAACCAGTTTACAATAGATTTTTTTTTACTTTAACACAACATGCAGCTAAAAGCATTTAATGATCTAGAAATTTTAAATACATGTAAATCTCAAAATATAAAAATGAATATTAATGAATCAAATGCAAGGGGCTTTTAATTAATTGCTAACCTAGTAAAAGAACACTTTATAACATTGCTAAGAACCTGAATTGTTTTAATTCCTGACCAATATAGCTTGGTCATTTTTCAAGCAAAATAATAATTGTAATAATAACAATCCATCATTGCTAAATTATTAACAAACGCTGTATGACTATAAGGTTTTTGTTTTTGTTTTTAATTGCATAACACTAGTCCTGCATAAAACCATTAGCTGGAAACATTCTGAAGTTACATAACTTTTCTTAACTCCCAAGTTAAATCGGCTCTACCCTAGAAAAAACGTAAAACAATGTACCCCTTAGACATGTTACCCAAAGTGAATTTCAGAAGTTGCCCATAATTGCTTGTTTTAAAAGATACTC